GGAAAAAGGAAAGAAAGTTAATGATAAAAGTGATTTTTAACTAAGATTAATCCTTAGTGATACATTTAGAATTGGCTGTAAATTAAGAGACTGAAAATATCTCCTACATTATAAAATACTAATTTTTAAAAGCAACCCGACCCCTCTTAAAGAAGATTAAGTATTTGTGTTGAAACCACATACCAGCAGCTATGGCACACCTCCAGCCCTAAGGAGTGATGTTATGGACACCTGAAATAACTGGGAATGATTATATTTCTTATACTATGAAACCTTTTTATATCTAAATGTCTTACATGAAAAGAACAGTGAACCTCTTTGAAGCCTTTAGGACAATAAAGAAGGAAAATGGCCAAATGCTTTTCCTCCCTTTCTGTAAGTTTCCTTCTTTGTAGAAACATACAGAGTATCATTTTAACACATTAAGTGGCTAATCAACACTTTGATGTCAGGACACTGCTACTTAAGAATAGAAAGTACATATAAAATAGTCTACAATGGTGACATTCAAGCTGATCTCATAGAAGAACTGATACATAGTATTCTGAATGCTATTCCTGACATATACCATACCGAGGGTATTATCTTTATTCTGCATTACATTTTCCGGAAAAAGAAGTTGTGGGAGATTAAAGAACGATTCCTGAAGTCTGAAATCTGTGAAAAAAAAAACACAAGATGCTGTAAAGTGTTGGCTGAAGGTTACAAAGGGCCTTCAGTGATGTAGTGGCCAAAAGTTAGAATACTATTCCCAAATATGCTGATTAAAGCTAGCATACATAAAGAAGTACACACTTTGGTTTTTATGAAGAGCTCTTTCATGGAAAATGTAAGTGTAATTAACTTGGAAATACAATGTCATAATCTGTTAACACCCAGATATCCCCCAAATTTATAGCTCATAAAAGTTCTAATGTAGAGGCAAAACGTGCTAAAAGAAACTTTTCTTCATAATATGTTAAAAACACAGGGGAGTACAAGAAATGGAATCATAAAACCACTGTATATAAACCTGGAATTTTCAAAGAAATGAAGAATAACTATCTTAGATGCTTCAACTTGATGACAATAAAGTGGTTTCAACAGACAACAACACATACTCTTCAAAGACAGAAACCCTGATTGATTCATGAATTCAGTCTGTGTCCATCTTACCCTCAAAAAGCAAGAGAATCAAAGAGTCCATAGTTTCAGAATAAAGGTTATCAAGAACTGAGGCAATCAATGTAAGCAGAAAGAAGGAAGGAAGCCAGAATCACCTAATCACAATGACCAAATTCCAGAAAGAAGATTTAAGGAAGAAAGGCTTTATGATTTGCAAGATAGAGCAAGTATGACATAAGGAATGTCAAAATCAGGATTATATAGAAAAGTGCATTATTGAAGCAAGTCTAAGAATTAGTAAGGCAAATCTTGGGAATTTGGTTTTAAAAGGTGGAATTCTATAATAGTTTAATTACATAGATGTCTAGAGATAAATATATGTTAACTGAGAGTCATGATTAGCTCAAATTTGGTGGAGTCTACAGTCCACAAGGAATTTACCATTAGGACCAACGAAGAATTTATATGCAAGAATAACAAAAAGTGTACTGTTATCAAAATATAATGATGCAATATAGCTAAGCATCTCTCTAACTGTTGTCCTGAAAGAAGAAACAGGTTTCTCATCATTAATTTTGAAATTACTATGTTAAATAGTAAAAAGACCTAAAAAACAGCTTTCTTCCCTCAGATTCTATAGATTCTCTCTTTATGTCTTCATTACCCTTTCTCGGGGCATTAACATTACAAGGAATTGTGACTTTATACCTACCATCTTACACAATTCTTTGAAAGTATTTTTCCTCAGAAGTTTAGAGTTTTGACCTCTGCATGTTACAATATAATTCTATTTTTTTGTAGTCACATTCCTGATATTAAGTAGAAATGAAATCTTAAATCACCAACAGTATATGAACTTATGTAAGAAACTAAAAAATGAAGTCTGTACAAATATCAAAGTCTAAAATGAATTCTCTATGCACTGTTCAAAAGGCTTACAATTATAAAATTTTCAGTTCTCAGAGTATGACATAAATAGGATTAAGGTTAAAAAAATTGCTACTTGTCCAAATTGGAATGTCCAACTTGGGAACGTCCAGGGTAATTCCTTTTGTAGTGGGGTTGACTGTGGAGAAAGATCCAGCCTCTAGGACTGCCATGCCTGAGCTTCCTTTTTAAGTACATTTTATGGATGACAATGGATGCTGGTCATTTGAAAATTTAGAGAGCAGACACAGCAAGAAAATAAGGTTACAAGTATCTGAAATAAGTTTCCATAGTGTAGTGGTTATCACGTTCGCCTCACAAGTATCTGAAATAAAATCTGCTTAAACATTTATTGAGAAAGGAAGGAAAGTTTTCTGCTTGCTATATAGTCACAAAAAGCAGCTAGTTTGAGAATCCACATTTCCTTATGTGAATCAATAGAAAAATAGGACTCATTAGTCTTATTTTAATGGACACTTAAAAATAAGGTTCAAATTTAGATGCTTGGAATTAAATATATACTAAATGTATAAGAGTTTCACAACTATTCAAGATTTTAAACCTTAGAAATCTACTGGAAAAAATTAAATAAGTCCAGCTTAATTATCCATTCATTCCCTCACTTCTTGAATATCTACTTTTGTTAGGTAGCTGAAATAGGACTGAAAGCCATACAGTGGATCCAATACAATAATATAAGCTTGAAAGTCTTATAATTTGGTTGGATGAAGGGGACTGTGGAATTAGCAGCAGGATGGGTTTGGCATAGTAGCTTTTAAAAAGTATCAAGAATATACACAGCATAGGTTTGAAGCACTTACATGAATTTTTAAGGTCATATTTAAAAAAATCTACTTTATAAAAATCAGGGGTGCTCATTCCAAAGAAATCTGTTATATACCAGGCCCTGATTATTACTCTTAACTACTAATTCACCAATGCAGAGAGTAAAACTGTATTTACCTGGGAATTATACTTAAAAATATAATCAAAGTATTTTTTCTTTAAAAGCAAACTTATGCTTTAGATTTTAGAGTTGACTGCTCCTGTCAGTATCTTAATCCTCTCTGCCCTCAAGTTGTAAGAGATATGGTATAAACATAAGGAAAAAAGAGTATGAACTAACATGCAGAATCCAGAAAGCCAGAACTGCTGTGTGGAAGGGTCTGCGTTGCTACAGTGGTTGTGGGGAGCAAGGCGACTGGCTTCTTCTCATCTTCTATTGAGTCTTTTGATGCCTCAGACGCCTGTGATGTAGATGAACGTCCAAATCTTGAAAACAACATTCCTCCAAGGCCCTTTCCAATGCTAGCGGCCCCTGCATTTCACAAAACAGGGCAGTCAGTCTGCTGAATTACACCACATACCAAGCTAAAGAACACCAGTCACAGTTACAGCCAACTGGCAGAGGAACCAAGCCCTACTCATATTTTTCCAGGGTGGGAACATAGGAAAACTGCAATTTATATTGTTGGTTTCTTTTTTTTTTTTTTTAAATTTTTATATTTTATTTATTTATTTGAAAGAGATAGAGATAGAGCATGAGTGGGGTTGGAGTGGAAGAAGCAGGCTCCCTGTGAGCAGGGGACCGACACGGGGCTGGATCCCAGGTCTCTGGGATCATGACCCGAGCCAAAGGCAGATGCTTTAACCAACTGAGCCACCCAGGTGCCCCTATATTGTTGGTTTCTAAGTAAAAATGGTGTTGAATAGAATGAGAGTTGTACAAACGGTAGGAATAGAGCTTACCAAAAAAGGAATGAAGATTCTATTTTACTCAAGTGTTCATTGTTTATTAAAGTATTTGGTAAGATTAAAAACCTTAATAACAGAACCATGCCATCGACATGGGTCTATATTTACTACTGATATGCTTTACTACTGAAATTAAGTGAATATTTTACAAAAAGCTATCATAAATAATCTGTATGACAAAGTGAAATATCAATGAAAAGCCTATTTATAGTGCCATCTTGTGGCATTTTATATTAAGAAAACCCAGAACCAACGGACTAATTCAAGTGGCACATAACTGAGCTCCAGCTCTACACCAACAAACACTGTGGCTGGTGATCATTTAAAGAGAAATTAAATTAACCTGTTTGCCCCTAGGATGGATGCGGTTTGAGAGACACGAATCAGAGAATGGGTTGGCAGGGGCACCCTTAGAACTCACATATTCCCTCATTTTACAGATGAAGCAGACCATTAAAAATGATGTGACTTGGGGAGCCTGGGTGGCTCAGTGGGTTAAAGCCTCTGACTTTGGCTCAGGTCATGATCTCAGGGTCCTGGGATCGAGCTCCACATCGGACTCTCTGCTTGGCGGAGAGCCTGCTTCCTCCTCTCTCTCTTTGCCTGCCTCTCTGCCTACTTGTGAACTCTGTCAAATAAATAAATAAAATCTTAAAAAAAAAAAAAGATGTGACTTGGGTGCCTGGGTGGCTCAGTTGGTTAAGCAATTGTCTTCGGCTCAGGTCGTGATCCTGGAGGACCAGGATTCAGTCCCCCATTAGGCTTCCAGCTCCGCGGGGAGTCTGCTTTTCCCTCTGACCCTCTCCTCTCTCATGCTCTCTCTATCACTGTCTCTCTCTCAAATAAATAAATAAAATCTCTAAAAAAAAAAAAAAAAATGTGACTTACCCAAGATCTCACAGTAGATGGCAGGGCCAAGATTAAAATGAGGGCCTTGATTCCCAGACCTTCTCTTGTCTCTCCAACTACCTCATAGTCTAAAACTACAAGATCTGATTTAATTAGAGAACTTTAGGGCTTTTGGCTCACAATATGAACAGAGAGAGGGTAGTTATTTCTAAACACAGGGATTAAATGTTGGATGTTTTATAATACATAGAATATCTTCAAGAACTCCAAATTTAATGCCTATCTAAGAAAGCGCTTATATTTACTAATAAGAAATACTTATGAGAAATTACCTAATATACTTGCTTTGCCTATATTTGTTATAGATTCCCCATAGTGCCGGCGGGACAAGACTGGTGAGGTCACAGGGCTTGGTACTGTTGAAATGCCTTCATTCTCTGAAACTGAGGTAGGTTCTTTTGCTGGGTGGAGAAAGCTTGGCTTCATATACTCATAAGGTAGAGGATTGGAAGTATTATACCAGTGGATCTGGACAGGTGAAATGTTGCTGTAGTGTTTCAGTATTAACGGTTCTAATCTATAAGCCTTGAATTTAAAAAAATTCAAAGAAACACAACATTAAGGCACAATGTTTGGATTTTACTAAACTGTTTATTCTTGTTCTATTGCATGCTCAGCAGACCTTAGGGAATTAAAAAAAACAAAAAACCCTGGTATTTCTAACATGCATTCCTATTTGTTTACTGTTAATAATATGTAATTGGTCTAATTATATATCTTTAATGATGAGATTATTAAAAAACCAATTAGCACTGGTCTAAGCTAACAGTGCCCATTAATTTGTTTTTTAGAGAAACAGATTCATTTTATGATGTTCTGATATCATCTAACAATTAGATTTATGTTAGTCTCACCAACAAAGCTGAAGCAGTAAACTAGAACACAATAAAAGGGTCAATCTATAATATAATCTTATAATCTTTATATATATAGATTTATATTTATCTATAATATGTATCTATAAGTCTATAAATATAATTTATAATATAATCTTAGGAGCTCTTAGTAAGCTCTAAATTTTCAAACAGATTAACATAATAACACAAATTAGATGCTGATACAAGACCATTTGTCTAATGTGAGGAAGGGATGACAGAGCAGAAAAGGCAATGAATGGATTTGGCCAATTAGGATTAGAATTCCCCAAGTTCACAGTCTGGCCTCCGTTGTTTATTAACTGTGTAACACCCGCCAAATTGTAAGGTCTCAGAGATACCATTTCCTGAGCTATAGGAAGGAGATTAACTTTTCCTGCCTCACAAGAATGTTGGGAAGAACAGATAATGTTTGTAAATACTGCCTAGCACAGTTCTAACATAAACTTTGTTAAAAAAAACTTTACTTTAAAAAATCACAGGAAAACTGTAAAATGAATAATAAAAATAACTTAAAATAATACAGTGACTTTGGAGCACCCCTTTATAATATAACAAAGTTAAGATTATATCCAGAAAAGTGTATACAATGAAAACTCAGAGTTCCCCTATAAACTCAAGTTCACATTCAAGTTATAAGGCAATGAGTAAAATGAATGTATATTAATGAGATACTTAATGTCTAGCTGGGGGTTTTCACATATGTTTTACTTAATACTAACAACCTTATGAGGTAAAATATTATCATCTGCATCCTACAGATAATGAAGAGTCGTCTCAGGAGAGACTTGGGCAAGATTGTGCAGTCTGTATTTTAATGTAATACTAGTTTCCAACTCAAGTGAAATTTATTTCATAAATATAGTGTTTTTGATTCTTTAACATATAGGACATTTTCTGAAACTCTTGTATTTAATCAATGCTATATTTACTTGGTACTAGCTAAAGATCTTTTAGAAGACAAAGCTATTTTTCTGAGAAAGAATGCTATTTAAAATGGTTTTACAAGGGACGCCTGGGTGGCTCAGTGGGTTAAAATGGTTTTAAATTTAGTTATACCTAGCCTTGTCCCCAAAAGGATTTAAGGAAGCATTTTTCTCATCTAAAAATCTTACTTGGTATTAAATGGTCTAGCTGGATGCAAGATCACTGGAGTGCTTACATTAAAAAATTATTAACAGTACAAATATAACAAGAGAAAAACCTCAAATTTTATAATCCCATCAGGCTAAAATAACTTCATTCCTTTATTCATGCTTAACATAATATTCAAATATTTTCATTTCTAAGGTGACCTACTAGACACATTTCAATATTGAAGCATGCTTTAGAGAAAGAAGACCTTAGAGTGGGGTTTTAAAATTTATGCTTGTTGGGTTACTGGTATCACAACTGATAATGGCTTGACAGTCGAGAAGACTGCTGTTCCAGGAATTAATTGTCCAGAGATAATACTTTTCATTATGCTCTTACACTATAACATAAACACATCATCTCTACCGAAATTAACCAAAACACAAACGTCTTAAAAATATGAATCTATGAAAATATAATCAGATAAATGAATTATTAATTTCTCATTAGTTCAGTTGTACCTTGCAATATTTCTTAGAGGGTCTTTAAGAATGATTTAATATTGAGAGGAAAAACATCTACAACTGCAACTCACCACTGGATCTGTTGGATGAAAAATATTTAGTAACCGGTTACAAATTTCTCTGGGCAAAATATGGTCTTGACTTCCAGTGTTTCCTGGGCGGATGCCACGCAATGCCAAGAAAACTGCTAGTGGGGATCCCATGCAGAAGAAATTCTCAACCTAAAATGATAGTTATCTTAAATCTTAAAACCGGTGAAGGGTTTTTCAGCAGAATTTGGACACAACATAATACATGGTAAAAATGTGAATAATAAAATTATTGTCAAATATAAGTCTTCTTTTCATGAGCTTGGTTCAGATGGTATCTGCAATTATTTGTTAATTATATGCCAACCATTAATTATTCTAAAAATCTATTTTCAGAAGCAACCTTCATTTTCCTTAACTCAAATAGAAAACGATGAATGAGAAGGAGGAGGAAGACCTTCAACTTCTTAGCTTCACTGAGCTACTGTTTTGTGGTAATATTCTAGGTTCTGTGAAGTCTATGGAGACCACTGTGTAGAGCTTCTGGGCTCAGAGTTTACAACCCTGTGCAGGAGGCAGAAAAAACAAATGAAGAGAGGGAAAGATTGCTATAAGAGAGTAAAAAAAGGAATAATTCCAACTCTGAGGGTGTTTATACAGGAAGAAGCATTTCCCCCCCACACTGTGTGAAGTTTTTTTTCTTTTAATTGCAGTGTAAAGAACAGTGTTTATTAGTTTCAGGTTTATAGTATAGTGATTCAACAACTCTGAACATTACTCAGAACTCGTTACAGTAAGTGTCCTCTTAATCCCCTTCACCTAGTTCACCCATCACCCCCTGCCCTCACCTCTCCTCTGGCAACTACCAATTAGTTCTCTGTATTTAAGAGTCTATTTGTCTTTTTGTCAATTTGTTTTGTTGAATTCCACAAATGAGTGAAATCAAAATGGTATCTGTCTTTCTCTGACTGACTTATTTCACACAGCATTATATCCACGAGATCCATTCATGTTGCTGTAAAAGGCAAGATTTCATTCTTTTTAATGGCTAATATTTCATGGTGTGTGTGTGTATATCTATCTATATATCTGTATATATATCTATATGCATATAGATATATGTATCACATCTTCATCCATTCATCTATTGATGGACGTTCACGTTTCTTCCATTATTTGTTTATTGTAAATAATGCTGCAGTAAACATAGCGCTGCATATCTTTTCAAATTAGTGTTTCTGTATTCTTTGGGTCTGCACCCAGTAGTGGAATTACTGGATTGTACGGTAATTCTATTTTTAATGTTTTGAAGAACCTCCATACTGTCTTCCATAGTGGCTGCACCAGTTTGCATTCCTACCAATAGTCCATGATGGTTCCTTTTTCTCCATATCCTCACCCACACTTGCTGTTTCTTATGTTGTTAATTTTAGCCTTTCTGACAGGTGTGAGATGGTATCTCATTGAGGTTTTGATTTGCATTTCCCGGGTGGGGAGTGATGTGGAGCACTTTTTCATGCGTCTGTGGGCTATCTGTATGTCTTCTTTGGAGAAATGTCTGTTCATGTCTTCCACAGAGGAGGAAGCATTCACCTTGGCGATAAAAGGTAAAAAGGATTTCTGCATTTGGAGCTGGATCATTGGGGCCAGAAAGGACATTTGAGATTGACAGAATCACTGTGAACTAAAGCAGAGGCAGGAGAAAATCTGGCTCAATTTAGAAAATAGAAGTAGTTGGACAGAGTTGAAAAATTGCATGTCAGGAAAATATAACTTGGAATGAGAATGTATGGAACCTTGACTATTTGACTAAAAAAAGTAGGACTTAATTGATTTTGTAGGTAGTAAAGAAGAACAGGATTTGACCTATGTTTTAGGAGGTTAGTAACCTGGTAGTATTGTGTGGATGAACTGGAAAACAGAGTCTGATGACTCAGAGACGAGTTAGGAAACTACTCAAAGTGCTTAGGCAAAAGATAATTTGAACTGGGCCAGGACAAGATGTTCCATTCAGAAATGGAAATGGGAGGGGAGAGGGTGCAATCGACATGACTGAATGGAGATGCGGATGAGGAACGAGTCAGCGGCAAGTTACAAGCTTTGGGTCTGGCTGACTGGGAAGACAGTGGTTCCATTTACTATAACAGGAAACTCTAGGTAGTCCTGCTTTTGTTCATATTAAGTCTGAAGGATCTGTAACATATCTAATGGGCTGAAATTTTAGGGTAAGAGATGTAGAGTTGGATATGTCCTCTCCCAAGTCTAGGTGTCACCATTACAGAAGTGACATGTAAAGCCAGAGAAGGGGTTAAGATGGCTTAGGAACTGCACAGAGTAAGAAAGGGCTTTAGCTGGAAATAGGAGCAATGTCTACATTTGATTAGCAGGGGAAGGAGACTACAAAAGAGAGAGTGGAAAGAAAAGGAGAACCAGGATAATGCAGTATACATGGAAGCCATGGGAGAGGGCTTCTAGAAAACTAGTGTGGTCAGCAGCACTGGATTATATACAGAATGTGACACCTCTTCCTCCTAAAGTCACCCTACATCTCTCATATGTCCCATTACCCTGATGCATGACACTCCCAATTCTCTCATTCCCAACATCAAAGAAGTTATTCTAACAGACTCTAACACTTCTCCTCATGGCCTCCAATCTGGACTGCACTGTAACTATACTGTAACTAACTTGTTCTGGCACCAATTTTATGTACCTTTAATCTCCCCCCACCCCACCACATCTGAAGTGATTCCTCTTTTTTCCCAAATGAATCAATATTTATTTTGAAAATGGTACCTTTATGTTAAAGAATGTATGAGAAAGTTTTTCTTTTTAAAGGACTGGGTAACATCAACATGTCTGAGGGCTGAAGAAAATTAACTTCTCAATTAAAATTATAGGAAAAAGCATTTGAAATAGTGACACAGATGAAAACATTAATTTTGAAAAGATTAAGATAATTAAGAAAGGATAAAGATAAGAAAATAGTTGAGATAGAAGCTATGTTAATCCTTTTTTTTCTCTTATTCTCTCTCTCTTTGTAAATCCTTCTGCTATTTGATAGACACATGTACATACACACACGGCCTAGCAAAATGCTTTATTCTTTGGTCAGGCATTTCATAAATGTTTGTAAAATTGCTAAATCCCTGGAATTAATAACTTTTCTTTATGATTGGTATGCAGGTCACAGACAAACACACCAAGTAATTATTCTAGGGGTAATGACTGCCTTAGTGAGATCTACATCCATCAAAGAACTTCAAAGGTGAAAAAGAGCTTCAGACATCTAGTCTAACCTCCGTGTCCATAGAGGAGCAAACAGATGAATTTGAGATTTTAAATGATTTGGCTGACATTACATAACCAGTTAGCAGCAAAGCTTCATGATCAGAAACAAAGTTTCCCACTCTCCAGACCAGTATTTTTCAAGTTTGTTTAAGTTCAGTGGTCACCTATAACAATTTTAACACCTGTATTCTGAAAGTAAATCCATCTATTCTGTTCCTCTTAGATCTCTGAAGTCCTAAATGTTTGCCAGTTCATCAGATATTCCTTTTTAAATTTCAGATTTCTGTATTTTTTTCTCTATGAGTAATGAAATAACAATTAAAAATCCATATTACTAGATGACATGACTATGTTTTAGAAGAATACACGTTTAGTGTATAAGTTCTAAAAATATGGTATTAAATTTTGAGAACCATGATATACTTGGTGGATCATACTCAACTCTCCAGTAAAAAACCCAGGACTTGAAATACAAGAGTTAACTTTTTCTATTAGATCAATTCTACATATTCAACACATTGATCATATAATAATGGTGGTAGAGATGGAACTAAAATTCCAGGTGATGAGTCCAAAGACCATGCTCATATGGTTTTTAAATATAATTTTACCATGTGGCTTTTAAATGTGTTAAGTTTAAAAAGAAAACATTTTAAGTCATAGAGACATGCTCAGTAAGAAAATTCTTACTGCTTTAAAAAAAATGTCTACATTATTTCACTTAACCTGGATACTAAGTTCCCGTAATAAAGAGATTTCAATATAATATACTATCCCTGGGTATATATTCAAAAGCAAGTGAATATTAGGGAAGTTATGCCATGCTCCATTTAACATTGCAAACAAGTTCTGTTATTCAGTTATAGACTGTGTCCTTTCCAACAGTCAGGTCAATGTCCACATCTCTGTCATTCTTTATTCTTCTAAACCACTGCTTTCAACAGCTCCATTCTGAAGCTCAAGAACCCTGAAAAGTTTCCCACTGTCCAGTGAAATATAAGTTCTTCATTTCTGGCTTTTCCTGCATCCCACAGCCCATTGCCTGATCCTATGCATTCTAGCTAAACTGTTTTGCCTGCCCCAAACTAACCACATACATCCCCATCTTGTGTTTTTGTCATACACTGCTCATTGAGTGAAATGCCAGTTCTCCAGCCCTAAAATCGCCACTGATTATACTTCTGCTTATTTTTCTTATCAGTCACAACTAGCTGGTTACTAAGGCTTATTAATTCTAAATACTAAATATTTCCCAAATCTCTTTCTCTTTTCACTATTTGAGATTATCTCATGTTTCATGAGGTACTATGAAGTCATACTCCGCCACACCTTTGTTATGCCGTTTCTTTTACACAGAATAGCAATTCTCCTTTCCTCCACTAGGCAAGATCCAATTTACTGAGATCAAGTACAAATGTCATTCCTCTGCAAACCTTTCCGGGCAAAATTAAAACCCCTCTCTCGTGTATGTATCGTTCTATACACTGCTAATAGTACCAATAACACTGTGTTACAGATCCTGAGGGCTGGGAACCATCTTATCCATTCTTTTCCTTGTAGAACCCCCAAATTAGCAATGTCCAACACACTGTATGTGCTCAATATACACTCATTTGAAAGAAAAATTCAGATCTCACTTGAATGCTAATATCATGCTTCAAATGATGTTTGAAAAGAAACTGAGATAAATAATGAAAATCTCATCTCTCTTTCCTTACCTTAAATTTTAAGGCAGGTGTTTGTGTCATGGATGATGCCTTCAACCC